GCCTTCCCAGTGCTCCCCATAGATATGTAGCCTCTGCCCAAACTGGGCAGCATAGTTGTTCTCTTTCTTATTCAGGAAAAAATTGTTGTTTTCCCTGGTAACAAAAACAAAATGAAAAAGTATATCACGGAAACATCACTAAATACAGTCTCATTCCAATCACCAAGAGCCAAGCAGTTGTTAATGTTTTGTTGTGACTTCTTTTTGGTGTATTTCCCATTTAAACACTGGCCTTAAATGCGTTTGCCATCTCGCCGATCCATTCAACATATCAGGAACAACTTTTCAACCAACACATACACATCTGGAACATCATTATTAGTAGATGTGCCGACAGTAATTTAATAAGTTCCCTCTTGTTGGACGCCGGGGTTGTTTGTGAATTCTCACCATTTCCGGTACGTCCTTGATCCCATGCTTGCGTCTGCCACCCTGAGGTCTCTTTCCTAGGTGAAGAGACCCCATTACTTTCCATCCCACAGCACCGGGCACGCCCGCATTCAGCAGTGTGTGTTTGACCCTTGGTTACACAGCCAGGCAGCTGCCCACTCTTGGTTTTCAAGGCAGGACTGACTAACGCGCTCCAATGTTGCTGAGCTTCGCAGTCTTCCAACCGTGGGTTACAGGGAGCTCTTGCGCTTTTAGACTCCCTGTATCGGCAGCTTCCCAGTCCCTTTTTCTTGAGTTACTTTCAAAATATGTAATGATTGTTTTTCTCCCTCCTAGGAATTTTTTGATGTGTGGCCCGTCCTGATGGGTGAAGTGCCACCCTACTCGGGACCCAAGACCCCGGATGGAAGGGTAGGTCTCTCCGCCTTTTCAATGGGAGTGGATGCTTATTGAAATACAAACCCGAGGCGCCGTAGACCCTGCTGAAGGGTTTTTCTTTTTAATAAATCATAAAGTGCTGACCTTCTCTGGGCTGGGCTGTCGCTCTTGAAGGAAGTCCAGTCGCTGGCACTGTTTTTGAGGTGTTGCTGTGGGCTCATGGAATACCTGGCGTGGAGACACCAAGCAGGAATTATGATCCTCCTTCCGCGGAATAAAAAGAGCCCCAGGGAGCTCACGCCCAAGAATTCGCCCAGGAGATGTTTCGTATCTTACAGAATAGGGGCTGGATCATAGGCGCAAGGTGCTCTCTCCAGTGCAAACGTGGTGGGGGTGGTGGTGGGAGGTGGGGGTGGAGGCAGCTGCTTGGTACAGCAGACAGGCACCCTTGGTTGGCTGCAGCGGTTTTTAAATGATTGTTTTGCTTTTACTTTTGTGACCTGATTTAATCGATGACGAATGCAGGTAGTCTCTAATTTATGGGGGCCTTTGTGTTATAAGAAACGCACTGACTGTCAGACAGTGGTTGGTGCACACACAGTGTTGCAGCACGTAATTTGCTGGTGTTATCATTCTCAGGTGTTAAATTTTATGCCTTGTTGTTCAAAACCCTGCAAAGCAGGCGATGGTGTGGTCTACGAGGAAACGAGTGCCGAGAAGCGGGCGGGAGAGGACGAGGCGCGCTGCTCAGCGCTAACATGCGCATATGGAGCCGCCGGCAGCCGCCCCAATTCCGATTTCAGCGTCTGGGTCGCAGGGCCGACTCCTCGGGAGCTGTCTTGGCGTCTCCTGCGAGAAGAGGAGCCACTGTTGTTTTGCTGCCAGGTTGCTCGGGCTTCTCCCGGTGCAGCATTTCCAAAGGTAGTGTTCCCAGCCTCTAACCCTCCTGGAAGAACTTGGGGACCCTTTCATTCGCGCCAAGTCAAACTGCGGCGCTGGCACCCTCACGGGACTCAACTCCTGTTCCTGTGAAATGTTTTAGGAGTTATGAGAACAGAAGAAGTCTGACGGGGTTGCTCGGCGTGAGGTTTGCCAATGAAACCCCAGTACGACAGCTTTGCTATCCTTGAAACCGAGCGGCTGCTTCTCCAAAGCCATGGGAAATAATTTCTTGGTGTGAATTTCCTGACCTTTTCTTCAAATTTCGTCATGAAAAAGCCCCCAGTGATCATGCTGTGCTCGTCAAGAAAATCTATCAAGATTACCCTTGTGTAATCCCCCCAAAGATGTCATCCTATCCTCTGAGCAGACGTCACTGCGTGACTCTCACTAGCCTGGCAAATCTCCCTGGAAACCAGCGCTTGGATTGGCCCTTTCTTTCTTTGAAGGCTCCCTAAGTGGAATAAAACACGAGAATAACTGAAAAAAACGTGTCTGCAGACACTCCCTGGCCACAGAGGCATGTCGAGACCCATTTTGTTTGCAGCACACTGTGTGTGTGTGTGTGTGCTGAAACCATAGTACCAATACTTTAAAAAAACAAACAAAAAAACCCTTACTCTCATGTAAGAATAGACCTGGATTGAATCTGTTTATCTGCCACTGGAGGCTGCATGATAGAATTTTGCAAGGCCAATGCCTTCTTCTTTTTTTAACATCACAAAAGGTGACCACTCTACTTGTGGACTTCTCCAGATGGAATCCACAGAAATCAAATTGACTACATCTGTGGAAAGAGACCCTGGAGAAGCCCAATGTCAGCAGCCAAAAAGAGGCCAGGGGCTGAGTGTGGAACAGGCCATCAATTACTCATATGTAAGTTCAGGTTGAAGCTGGAGAAAATTCAAACACGTCCCCAAGAGCCAAAATACAACCTTGAGTGGACCCCACCCGAATTTAGAGAACATCTCAAGAACAGATTTGCTTCGTTGAACACTAATGACAGAAGACCTGAAGGGCTGTGGGAGGACATCAAGAACACCACACATGGAGAAAGGAAAAGGTCATTAAAAACACAGGAAAATGAGAAAAAAATCAATTGAATTTCAGAAGAGACCCTGAAACTTGCCCGTAATCATAGAGTAACTAAGACAAATAGAAGAAATGGTGAAGTCAAACAACTGCATAGAAGATTTCAAAAGGGCAACTCGAGAAGACAAAGCAAAATATTATAACGAAATGTGCAAAAACCTAGAGTTACAAAACAAAGAACCAAGCTCAGCATATCTTAAACTGTAAGAACTCAAGAAAGAAAATCAAGTTGCAATAGTGAGTTGCAATGGTTACAATATTGAATGATCAGGAAGCATTAAAAAAGAATGGAAAGAATACACAGAGTCACTGGACCAAAAAGAACCAGTCACCATTTTCCATTTCAAGAGGTAGTATATGAGCAAGGACCAATGGGACTGAAGGAAGACGTTTAAGCTGCTCTTTGGAAGCATTAGCTAAAAACAAAGCTCCAGGAATTGACAGGACACCAGTTGAAATGTTCCAACAAGCTGATGAAGCACTGGAAGCACTTACTCATTTTTGCCAAGAAATTTGGAGGGTAGTTATTTGACCAACTGACTGGAAGAGACCCATATTTGTACCCATTTCAAAGAAATGTGACCCGACCGAATGCTCACTTACAGAACAATACATTGATATCACATGCAAGCAAGATGTTGCTGAATATCTCCCAATATCAGTTGTAGCAGCATCTTGACAGAGAGCTGCCAGAGGTCCAGGCCAGATTCAGAAGAGCACATGAAGCAAGAGATATTATTGCTGATGTCAGATGGATCTTGGAAGCAGAGAACATCAGAACGATGTTTACTTGTGTTTTGTAGACTATAAAAAGACATTGGACGGTGTGGATCATAACAGACTATGAATAGCCTCAAGATGAATGGGATTCCAGGACACCTAAGTGTGCTCATTCAGAACCTGTACATGGATCAAGAGGCAGGTGTGTGGACGGTACAGGACATACCGCATGGTTTAAAATCAGGAAAGGTGTGTGACAGGGTTGTATCCTCTCATCATACTGATTCAATCTGTGTGCTGAGCAAATCGTCAGAGAAGGTGGGTTATATGAAGAAGAATGTGGCATCAGTGGAGGAAGGCGTATTAGCCACCTGCAATATCCAGATGGCATAACCTGCTTGCTTAAAGTGAGGAGGGCTTGATGCACTTGCTGATGAACATGAAGGATTGCAGCCTTCAGTGTGGATTACAACTCAATGTTAAGAAGAGCAAGGTTCTCACAAGTGGGCCAGCGGGTAGCAACATGATAAATAGAGAAACAATTGAAGTTGTCAAGGATTTTGTCTTGCTTGAATCCACAATCAATATCATGGAAGCAGCAGTCAAGAGATCAAGCGACACTTGCATTGGGTAAATACGCTGCACAAGACTTCTTTCAAGTGTTGAAAAGTAGGGAGGTTACTCTAAGGACTTAGGGGTGCTTGACCCAAGCCGTGGTATTTATATTTGCTCCATATGCATGTGAAAGTTGGATATTGAATGAGGAAGACAGAAAAAGAATAGAAATGTGATGCCTTTGAAAATAGAAATTTGATACATTTGAATTGTGGTGCTGGTGAAGACTATAGGAAGTACCAGGGACTGCCAAAAGAACCAACACAGCTGTGTTGGGAAAAGTCCAGCCAAAATGCTGCTTAGAGGCCAGGATGGGGAGACTTTAACTCGCAGACTTTGGACATGCTGTCAGGAGAGACCAGTCCCTGGAGAAGGACATCATGCTTGGAAAAGTAGGGGGCAGTGAAAAAGAAGAAGACCTTTGCCAAGAGGGGTTGAACAGTGGCTAGATCAAGGGGGGTCAAACTTAAGAACAGTTGAGAGGACGGTGCAGGGCGGGGGGAGATTTCATTCTGTTGCACACAGGGTCTCTATGAGGCCACATGGAACAATGGCAGTGTCTGCAGGCCATCTGCCTCCATCGATGACGGTCTTTAGTTCTTCAACAAGCTTACGGAAGGGGGATCCTCATGATAGGATCCCTGATCAGGTCATGGTGAAATGCCCCTCTGCTGGCCCCCTGATTGGTGGTTTGAACCTCACCCCCAATGCACCCCCAGGGGCCCTGCAGGAGAAAGGCTAGCAAAGTGCTCCCAGAAAGACAGCAGTCTGGGAAAGCTTAAGGCAGTAGCTCTCAACCTTCCTGATGCCGCCACCCTTTAATACGGTTCCTCATGTTGTGGTGACCCCCCCAACCATAAACGTATTCCCATTGCTACTTCAGAACTGCAATTTTGCTACTGTTATGAATTATGCCACCCTGTGAAAAGGTCCTTCGACCCCCAGAGGGGTTGCAACCCACAGGTTGAGAATCACTGCCTTAGGGGGAAGTTCTACTCTCTCGCCTGGAGACAGGATGATGATGGCACCCAGCAGCAATCGCCATTAGCCCTCATTTACAGGTGAGCTCATTTGGGATCAGAGTGGTTAAGTGACTTACATAAATTAGAAGCCAAAGACCTTCTTTTCTTTGACAACTAGCATTATAATTATGCTTTTTAACTTTCCCCTTTGCCTTCTACCAAATCCTCAGTATGAGAGTTAGTGTGTGTGTCAACTTGACTGGGCCAGGTTTCTCAATAACCAGGCAGTTGAGCCCTCCCCCACAACGTGATGTATCCTCATGTAATCACTTTCATGATGGGATCTGTTGCGAGCAGCTGAGAAGATGTGGGGAGCTTAGGGTGGAGTGCCACCTCTTACTAAGGCCACAGCTCGGATGTTGACTGGGGCGTGGCCTACTCAGTGCTGTGGAGAGCTTTGTCTGCATCTTTTTTTTTTTTTAAGCATTTTATTTGGGGCTCATACGACTCTTATCACAGTCCATACATCCATCAATTGTGTAAAGCACATTTGTACATTCATTGCCCTCGTCATTCTCAAAACATTTGCTCTCCACTTACGCCCCCGGCATCAGGTCCTTTTTGTCTGCATCGTGTGTCTGGTTTGTTGACCTCTAGTTCTTTGGCCTTGAGCCACTGGCCTGCAGATGCCTGCCGGTCCTGGGG